TCCCCATCCACCCACTGAATAGGCCTGGAGACCTTCCGCTCATCCTCGACAGCACCTATCATGGGAGAGAAACCTGAAGAGTCCAATAATAAGGAACATTTGCAGTGCACTATCTAAGAATTGTAAATGAAATTCTACTGGATTAAGCCAGCAAGAATATAAGATTTTTCTGAGGCAGTAACTAGCATTTCACTAATACACTACTTTTTAGGACTGTGAAGATTAATGTAAAATATCCACCATAATGCCCAAAAGAGTACAGACTCAGGAAATGTAAATAATTCAGGTCTCCATAAATGGAAACTCATTGCACAGTACCTATTATATAACATAGGTATGTAGATATGTGTTTGCAAATTGTGTGTGCACCACACTTACTGAGACCTTACATTCATTCTTATGTTTAATCACAACACTATTATATAGTAGATTCTATTATTTGTCCCACTTTACAGATGAATAAACTAAGGCTTTGAGAAGTTAAATAAATTATCCAAGATTGTAAGAAGACATTACACAGTGAATAGCCAATGACAGAGCTGAGCCCTTAACTCAGTTCTCAGTTATAATATATATTTTTTTAATTCAGAAAGGAGAAATCTATAGGATATGCAAAGGCTAATCACTAATTTAATGTAGGAGAGAGGGAGAGGTTTTAGAGCCCAGTCAGGGTGACTTCCCTGGCATCAGGCCTCAGACAATCTCCTTTACTCATGCTGTAATAACAATGAAAATAACAAATACCAATAGAATTCCTATAAGATATCAAGCACTGTTCTAAATTCTTTACAAGTATTAACTCATTTAATACTCAGAACAACAACAACAACAAAAAACTCAGAACAACCATACAGGATAGGTTCTATTATTGTGATCACATTAATGTAAGGAAACAGGCACAGAATGGTGAGATAATGGGCCAACATTACACAAAAAGTGAGAAGCAAAAGTGGAATTTGAACCCAGGCAGTCTGCCTGTCAGGCCATACACACCACCCATATAACTCAACTATGGCTTGTCATAGTACCTCAACATGAGCCATAGCCTGATCTCCCAGTTGCTTGAAATCTCACCTCACCCTAGTTTCAGCAAGTGATATCTAGCTTAACAGGAAGGTCGTACATGTGTGTGGGGGCTGGGATGCGAAAGCAGGAAGATACCATCCTGCTACTTGTGGTCCCTTGAACATGTCCTGAATCTTTTCACTTTCCCATCTTTATTTGTTATTCTTTCTATCAGGGATGCTCTTTTCCATTGCCATCTATAAAAATCCTACAGATGCTTCAAGAACCAATTCAAGAAACACCTCTCTCTTTGATTTTCCTGGACCCAAACAATCCCTTCCTTCTCTGTGCTTCCACATAAATTCATTTACTGATTATTACTTTTTACAATATTAATACCTAACATAAAGATTACCAATGCAGTAGAAGCCCACTGTGGCCCTCCTGGTTTGCGCCAGTCTTCCTACCCTCAGGAATCACTGGTCTTCTAAATTTGGTATTTGTTCTCACCATAGTATTCAACTTACATAAATGTTGTCTTGTTATAAAAAGCATCTTGCTTCTTTCACTCATCATCATGATTTTAAGACTCTTCTAACTTTATGCAAGTGATTCATTCATTTTTGTTGCTATATAAATGTCATCTATATGAATATTATGTTTATTTTTTTCTCCTGTTAATGGACATGTGGGTTCTTTCCAACTCTTTTGCTTTAAGAAACCACGTGAACACTCATATCTGTGTCCTCACGGACTTTGAAGACTTTCTCTGGTAAGTGGGTATCAGGAAAGATAATGTGGCAGTTAAGAATTAAAAGGTCAAGATCTGATTAAGATGTAAACGCAGAAAGATAAAATAAGCCTTGGGGGCTAGTGTATTTCTTATATGAATTGCTGAAGGTTTCAGAAGGGCAGCTTTGAAACTGAAAAACTGGCTAGCAGTCTTTGTCATCCTTTAAGGACCAGGGGACAAAAACTGGAGTCTTGAGTGTACAATGGGGGAGCTCATGAAAAACTCTCAGCTATTTCATTAGGGCCCCAAAGAACTAAGAGGTAGGGTGAATAACAAGCAAAAATTGAGATAAATAACAAACAGTGAAATAGACATCAAGGGAATCTAGGTAATTTACTCATCAGAAAGACCCTAAAAATATCTATACTTACTATGTTAAAGGAGAAAAATGGTAAGATTGAGAATTTCATTAGAAAGCTAGAAAATAATGAAATTAGCAAATAGAAATTCTGGAGTTGAAAACATAATAACCAAAATTAAGAACTCAGATAGTCATTTTAATAACATAAGAGACACAGCTGAATAGAGATTTAGCAAACTGGAAGGTGGTGGATCAGAAGAAAATATCCATAATGCATACCAGACAGACAAAATAATATGGGAGATATATAGATTGCAATGGAAAGAACTAATGTAAATGTGATTGGAGAAAAAAGAGTAAGGAAGTGTGTGTCAATATCAGTGTTTAAAGAGTATCTTTGAAAGAGAATAGAAAGGCACTAGACAGAGAGGAGAGGCCACATGAGGACAGAGGTAGAGAACTGAGTGATGCTGTACAACCAGAAGAAATATCTGGAGTCAATCAGAGGAGAGAAGAGGTGGGGAAGGATTCTCCACTAAGGTCTTCAGAGGGAGCATGGCCCTAATGATACCATTATTCTGGACTTTGGCCTCCAGAACTATAAGAAAATACATTTATTTTAAAGATATTTATTTATTTAGTTAGTTATTTAGTTATTTAGTTATTATTTATGAGAGAGAGAGCACCAATAGGAGGGATGGGCAGAGGGGAGATGAAGAAGCAGGCTCCCCAGTGAGCAGGGAGCCTGATGTAGGGCTTGATTCCAGGACCCAAGATCATGACCTGAGCTGAAGGTGGATGCTTAACCTACTGAGCCACCCAGGCACCCCAAGAATACATTTCTGTTGCTTGAAGTCAATAAGCTTGAGAAAATTTGTTACGGAGGTCCCAGAAAACTGATATGGGATAATAAAGTTAGGGTGAAAAAAGCAATTAGGCTTTAATTGAAAGATGTGAGTTCTGTTCTGGACATACTTGCCAGTAGCCTTGTGGCCATGAGAAAGTCGCTTGGCTTCTGTGGGCTGCTTTCCTCTGAAGCCCACAAGAAGGTGGGGGTGAATGATCAGCAAGGCCTCTGCCCCCTTTAAGGTTCTGAGAGTTCCTTTCAAGTTCTGTTCTGCTAGCCTCAGACCTCTGACCTTCCTGAGGCCCCCAGCGGCCTGGGCAATGGCCTGAGGCATGGCCTCTTCCTATAAAGTGACCACGAGGGTTATGAAGGCAGGCAGCCTCCCTCTAGAGACCAACATTGGGCCTAGGACTTGGTCTTATTTGATGCAACACCTGATTAGAGTGATAATGTAAGGCTCCTTCTCATAAGACACCAGGCTAAAAGTAGCCCAGCACTGTACATAGGGAGAACCAGGTGTCACAGTGTGGAAGCTGAAGCTGTAAATCATAGTCTGCTTTCCTCTCTGAATTTATTGGCACTGGTGGTGCATCACTGGTCACTGCTGTAGGGGAAAGGAGTGAGGTGATGTCTTGAGATTTCAGTCTGTCTCTACCTCCCCATCATCAGAGACTGGCTTGGCAAAGGAAGAGCTTTTAGCTCAAATAGTGTTCCTTAGAAGCAGTGGCCCTCTTTGCCCACACCTCACTCTCATAACCATTGTCCTGCAGGCTGGCCTGCGGCAGGTCCGTGCCAAATGTATGATCCTCCATTGGAGTGGAAATGATAATCACTGGTTTAATGAAGAGGATTCCAGGACTTTGGGGTGGAAACAGTCATCCTTGGGCACTTCAAAATGTTGAGACTGTTCCTACAGACTTGTACTGGAACATTGTTCATGAACACTGTGCTCTGCCCACCCTGTCACGGAGCTGTGAGGTCAAGTCCACACTCCCTGTGCTCCCAGGACCTGGGATATACACCAGGAGGCCAAACCTGCCCTGTTTCCTACCTACTGCAGGGTCTCAGACCAGTGCCTTGATCCCTCTGCCTGCAGCCTGTGCTCAGCAAAATGTCGTGTGGAGTCAGGGTTGCTTGACTCATCTCTGTGTGGTAAGATCTACTGAGGGGTCTTAAAATATCTTATTTGAGAATAGGCTTGAGACTTATTACAAGAGCTTATAAATGCTAAAAATAAAAACTAATCCTAAAATGTGACATCTACATTATATTTTAAAAGGAGGACTTTTAAATTTCATGAGAAGCTTAAAAGGAGAATGTTTCAATGAAGCTTTGATTCGTTGCATGTATCACTAGGGTCCCTCCTTGTGTCACTGCCCATCTTCTGCATCATCTACTCCTTTGAATGATCTTGGGAGGTCTAGAAGTCAAATACTGTTTACAGAGGAGGAGCCTGAGAAAGTAAAATGCCGAAGCCTCATGGTTTCCTAAGAAGTCTGGAATTGTTATATGTTAACTTAGTGCTGTAACCTCAAGTCCCTGGTCAGCAAGATAGAAGAAGCTGTCTAGGGCAAGTCGTTCTGGTACTATTTGTGTCATGAGAATCATCTTTGAAGTGTAATTAGAGCCAACACCTATTGCATGCTCTCTAGGTACCACCATGCTAAGCCTTTACGTAGGTGGTCTCTGCAGTCCTCACAAAAATTGTGTGAAGGTACTATTATTATTACCAATCCCATTTTACTGTGGAGGAGAATAAGGCACAGGGATGGGAAGTGACCAGCCCACAGTGCCCCAGCTAAAAGATGAGCCAGAACAGGAAGACAGTCTATCCCTAGCCCCAGGCTCTCAATTCTTGATAATAACAAGATATTTGGGGTATGCTTAAACAATCCCAAACACAGAATATTAAATATATATATATATATATATATATTTAGTATTATTTTTAAAATACATCTAATCCCTCCCCTAAAACTTCCCAATAAGAAATTAAAATATTGTGTCCATGCTCCTTTATTTTTTATACAATTGCATATTCTAGTGAGTATAGAGCAAGAGAATTATCTTTTATTGTTCACAGAAAGAAAGTTGACATTTGTTCAAGATAATTGCTCGATTTCTTTATCTGATCCAGTTTCTCTTTGCCACAGAACTCTGAAAAAGAGGAGAAAAATGCACTGCTTGGATCAAATCATTACCAGAATCAAGACGAGGCCTATGGGCATGTTATTGTACAACATATTTTAAAAATTACTCCTCAATTTGATAAGTCACAAATGCCCGCAAATCGGTACTTATTCATTTTTGCAGCATCTAATTAGACCATTCAGTCTGTGTCAGTGCTGTGGCCTCAGGGAACCTCTTCCTCTCCTTTCACCTGGGGAGTCCTGTTTCGCAGCATCTGGACAGCTTTCTCAGGCACCCTTGGCCTGCCCAGGCCCTGGCAGGTCAGATCAGGCTCCAGGAGGGAGGCTGGGACACCTCCAAAGGACAGCCACCTCAATGACCCCAGGACCACACCATCATGAGAGACAGAGGAGGCCCAGAGCTGCCTCGTACATGGACTTCACTTCTATGGGCCCGAAGACCAAGGAATCTCCTGAGATTTAAACTCTGGGTCTCAGCTCACTGTTGAATGGAGGGAGTAGCCTTGCCCGGCTACGTCTGCTGTACTCAGAGATGTTCCCACTATAAGGTACCCCCCTTCCCCTGCCAAGCCTGCTAGGGAGGCTTCGGCTTCCTTTGAAGGGTCAGGTGAGAAGTCCCGAGGATCAGCTGGGCCACATGTGGCCCTCACTGCCTCGCAGGTCCTGCTAGAGACGACATACCTGCAAAGGGCCAGCACGGAGGCGAAGGCTGCCTTGTGTGCTTGGGACAGCCTGTTTCTACCAGGCTGCAGTGGGGTCTCTGTGGTGTGGAGAGTAGGGAAGGGAGGGAGGGGGTGGAGGACCTCAGAGGTTCCACGTGGCCCCCCTCTTTTTTGAACTGCCACCCCTCTGGCTGCCTCTCACCACCCCCCAAGTCAGACACAACATTTACTTGGAGGAGAACAGTAGGAAGGGGGCTGACCTTGGACTTCCCTACAGGGTGTTATCTTCAGTGTTTCTTCCATTCCTTGGCTGGGGGAGAAAAAAAAAAGGAGCAGCTTACAGATACTGAGACAAAACTGCCTAGAACCTGTTTCCAGGCCTTGGATCCTTCCTCAACTGACCCTAAGACTTCGTTTTCCTAACTGAAATGTCAGCAGCCTCCCTGGGAGTTCATCTGGTCAGCCCTAGCCCAGGGCTACCAGGCCAGTGCTCCAGGACCCTTGCTGCTCCTACAGCCCTGACACTGTCCTCTACCCCACCACTCCCACACCCCCAGGCTCTATTTATGTAGCAGAATGGTCTTCAAACCATTTATCACAGGACTTCTCACCCTAAAGACATTGTGGAGACCCAATGTTCCTCAAAGTACCTTCTAGAGAATGACCACCAATAGGTCATACAGGGCCTCTATGATCAAACAAGTTGGGAACTATATAAGAAAGCTGAGAAAAACAGGTTGTTTCCTGCAGGACATGCTGATGTGTGCTGTAAACTTTTGAGAGTGTTGGGTGCAGTGTTTTCCCATCTTGTCTGATCTTTGCAGAGTAACCTCTTGGCACCAGTGACCCATAGAGTACAGTTTGAGGGGCATGAATCTGTCTGATTCAGAGTCCGATTTTTTTGATGGAAAGACTTGAGGATCAGGGGAAGAAGCAGAGCTAGTGAGTGGCAGACCACGAACTAAGACAGTTTCTGACTCTGTGACCTTCGCAAGGGGCTCTGGGACCCCAGGGAAGGAGAGAACAGTGCCTATGCTATTTGGGTGCATGGAACCTGGACACAGGGACACAGACCCCAGTTCTGGTTGGCTCCCATGTCTGTCCATCAGCAGCACTCCCACCTCCCACCCATGCTCCCGGAGCCCTGGTTCTCTCAGCCTATGTCTTTCTGCACTTTTTCTTTTCTAAACATCAAGTTTATAGGAGGAGACTTTGAAGGTCTCTCCTAAGGAAAGGGTGAGAGAGTCCCCATAATTATTCACTAGCTTGCCATAGGGTGCTGGGCTGTGCTCATTCTGCAGGAATCCATAATTGGGTGGCAGGAGGGAGTCCGAGTTAAAAACAGAGAAAAAGAAATGCTATACCCTGAAAAGGAAAAATGGTCGTCCCCAGGTGGCAGTGTGATCCTGCAACATAAAAACACAAACCATTATGCAACCACTTTGTGCCAAAGGTCTTCTGAAAATGTCTATGACAACAGTTTTCAAAGTGTGGTCCCCAGACCAAAAGCATCAAAGACACCTGAGACTTTGTTAGAAATGGAAATCCTCAGGTCTCTACCAGCTATCTGGAGCTGGGGCCCAGCCATATGAATTTTAACCAAGTCCCCAGGTATCTATGATTCATGGTCAACGTGGAGAAGAACTGGTATATGGATGGGGTTGTGCCACTTGCAGTTTACCTCTCCCCAAGTTTGTACAACTGGCATGCAGGCCCCTGAGCCACATAAAGCAAATCCTCAGGAACAGATGGTTCCAGGTGACTCATCTACAACACTGGAGATGAAATATAGTCAGCCAGCAGCATTGCCCCATGATTCCTTTCTGCCTCGGAACAAGCTCAGGAAAACCTGAAATTAAACTCTCGGCCTCAGATTTTCAGGGGCAATATTGTGGGACCAGTTCTTTCCAGAAGTGATCTAGAGGGGCTACAAGATTGCCCAGCTCCAAGCACTTCCTAGGCTTCTCCTGCAGATCTTTAGGAGGTGTGGGTTCTCGAAAGGGCTTACACACCTTCTTGGTGAAATCCACTGCAGCAGTCCTCGAATCCTGTGAGGGAATGAGGTGCAGGTTATTTAACAGGAACCACACCCCCCAGGGTTGCAGTCATCAGGCTGTGACCCTGTACCTCCTTGGCTCTGTTGTGCCCAAGATTGCGAAACCACAAAGGAGTTGACACCGATGCAAGTACACGAGGGGTTATTTACAAGCTTGAGCTTGGGTCCAAGTATACTCCACACAGAAGAGCAGGGGTTTGGACCCCGAAGTGGGTTACAGCTCTGTTTTTTATGGGCTGGTCTAGGGGATTTTCAGAAGAGGTAGAGGAATTTTTTTTCTCATTCCAATATGGGGGAAAGGGTGGGGGAGTTTCTTAAGATCTGATACGGGGTTTCTCTGCCTAAGGCATTCTGAGCTCTGTTGTCTTTCTGATATGGGATTCCCTGTCAAGGACATTCTGCAGTTTTTCCTATAAAGTTCAGCTCTTATTCACAGGGGCCTAAGATGGCTGTACTTGTGCTAATGCTAAACTTGAGGTGGAATGGCCTTACTTTTTTCAGCCTCCACAGCTCCATCCTCAGGTAGCCAGAAATCAGGAGCAAAAAAGTAGTTCAGGGGAAGGGTTAACCACGTAGCCGATTATAATCTCCTGTTCAGGAAGGCAGCCGTGTTTTCTTGATTGAGGTACCATTTATGTCCAAGACAAGGTTAAATCGGCTTGTTCTTCCCAACAGTATCACCTTGAAATTGTCCCCCATCCAAGGATAAGCCATGGCAGCTTCTCCAGCTTGTCTTTGCTTATGAGTCCAGCATACAACAGATCGGACTCAATCCGGAAGGCTGTGCAGCGGATCAGACAAGACAAACTGCTGTCTACACTTACAATGACCCACCTGCTTTCTAGGAACTGAGCAGCTTCCTGAGGGGTCTTGGGATTTTTCAGAGCTAAAACCAGGAAAGTTCGGGGCAAACTGGGATGAGTTTCAGTATTCAAAAGGAATATTCTTTTTATTTTATTTTATTTTTTTATTTTGGCTACCATGTAATTGTGGAGGCCGAGAAAAATTAAGGCCATTGCACCTCAAGTTTAGCATTAGCACAAGTACAGCCATCCTAGGGCCCAGTGAATAAAAGCTGAACTTTACAGGGAAAACTGCAGAATGTCCTCGGCGGGGAATCCTATATCAGAAAGACAACAGAGCCCACGCCCATGGTAGAAAGTCCCATATTAGAATGAGAACAGAGCTCAATGCCCTTGAAAGCCCCATATCAGAATAGTAAACAGAACTTGAGAAATTCCTCCACCTCTTCTGAAAATCCCCTAGACCAGCCCATAAAAAAACCCAGCTGTAACCCACTTCAGGGTCCAAGTCCCTGCTCCTCTGTGTCAGGTATACTTGGACCCAAGCTCGAGCTTGCAAATAAACCCTCATGCGCTTGCACTGGTGTCGCCTCCTTGGTGGTTTCTCGGATTCGCAATCTTGGGCACAACATTATTCTTTTATTTCGGCTACCATGTAATAAAACTTCAATTAGGATTTTGAACAACTATACCTATTACTGAAGCTGGTAATTTCAAAGCTTCAAACCAAACCAAACCAAACAAAAAAAAAAAAGCTATTTTTAAAGAAATAAAGTTCTGAGATAGGACAAAAGGCCAGGCGGAGCCACAAGGGGAAGCCCAGGGGGTCACCAAGGCAAATGTCCACAGGAAAAGGAAGGGTCAGGGAAAGTGGCAGGAAACCTGGAAGATGAGAGCGGAAGAGAAGAGGCCATCTCTGCCCTAAGGGGGCTCCCCGGGCCCTGCAGCCATTCTGTGGGGTTCAGGGTAGGGGCCTGTGGCATAAGGTAAGGCCTGCTCTCCTTCCCAAGGTGGAGGCTGATTCAAAGAGAGCCTGCAAGTCAGCCCTCCCTTTCCTGCTCCCCTGCTCCCTGCCCCCCAGCGACCACCCGCAGTCACCGTGGTTAAGTGAGAACACCTACCGGAGGTTGCAGAAATCTTCTCATCCTGCGGTTGGCGAGCTGCGCGGCCAGGCGCATCAAGGGGTGCACAGGAGGGAACTGCAACAGTTGGGGGGGGGCGGGGGTCGGAGGCTGGCCTCGCCAGGTCGCAGCCCAGGCTACTTGTCCTCTCCACGCCCTCCCTTACAGATGGGTTTAGTACCCCGGATAAAATTCATATCCACACCTAGGCTTGAAATTTTGTGTTTTCAATAAAGAACTGCTTGCCCTTACAGCAGGTTATAATTCCTACACAACACTTACAAATATTCCCTTAGGGTAAATCAGACTTTTATGTGCCTTATCCCCAAGCGTTCTGTCCTTCTGGGGAGGAGTGCACTGTCCCAAAGAAGCAAGCCCACGCAGATCCTTTTGCACCCCAGGTGTGCTCTCCTAGTCTTGGGGGGGGTGGAAGGACAGCACCTTAATCCCCCCTTCCTAGTACATTTGATATTCCTGCAAGTGCTAACACCTGAAAATTTGATAATCCCCCAAGTGCTAACACCTGAAAATCAGCACAACAGGCCCCTCCCGCAGAAGACCAGCTGGACGGACCAGTTCCAGGGGAAGTCAAGGGACTTAAAGTATACAGAATCAGAAGATACTCCCCCGTGTTTTTTTTTTTTTATTTTTGATTTCTGTTTGCTTCCCCCACCCCCTTTTTTCCTTTCTTTCTTTTTCTTTCTCTTTTCTTTTTTTTCTTTTTCCTTTTTCTCTTTTCTTTCCTTCTTTCTCTCCTCTCTTTTTCTCCTTTTCCCAGTACAACTTGTTTTTGGCCACTCTGCACTGAGCAAAATGACTAGAAGGAAAACCTCACCTCAAAAGAAAGAATCAGAAACAGTCCTCTCTCCCACAGTTACAAAATCTGGATTACAATTCAATGTCAGAAAGCCAATTCAGAAGCACTATTATACAGCTACTGGTGGCTCTAGAAAAAAGCATAAAGGACTCAAGAGACTTCATGACTGCAGAATTTAGATCTAATCAGGCAGAAATTAAAAATCAATTGAATGAAAAGAAAAAAAAAATCAATTGAATGAGATGCAATCCAAACTAGAAGTCCTAACGACGAGGGTTAACGAGGTGGAAGAACGAGTGAGTGACATAGAAGACAAGTTGATGGCAAAGAGGGAAACTGAGGAAAAAAGAGACAAACAATTAAAAGCCCCTTGCCTTCCTGATACTATCTATCCCCATCCTCACCTGATCCTCATTCCTAAATCTATGCTGATGAGTCTTTACCTCTTAGGGAAAAAAACACTTCACTATTTTTTCTTTAAAAGACTGTTCTTGAAGACGTGAAAAGCCTTGATTATATAAATGACTTACTAATGGTAGAATTTCAGTTACTGTAACAGAGCCACTGAATTAAAAATTTTCTACTATGACCTTCCTAATATTCCTCAAATCATACCCTGCAGAAATTCACTTACACAACCTGCTTCTGAGGGTATTTCAAGTTTAAAATAACAAAGTTAGGGGTGATGCATGTTATCTCCTTAGCACCATATAACCATATAACCATAGTGATGGTTATAGAAGGTGCACCTCTATGGATCACTACTAAGGACACAGCACTTTATGCTTCACAAAACTCTTCTTAAAATAAAAAAGGAGGGATGCCTGGGTGGCTCAGTGGCTAAACATCTGCCTTCAGCTCAGAGTGTGATCCTGGGTCTGGGGAGGAGCCTGCTTCTCCCTCTGCCTGTGTCTCTGACTCTCTCTCTGTGTCTCTCATGAATAAATAAAATCTTTTAAAAATTAAATTTAATTTAAAAAGGTAGTATAATAAATGTAAATTGAGCTCAGTTTTATCAGGTCTTTTTCAAACATCTGTTAAAGTGCATAATAAAAAACTCTCCTCACTTATTTTTTCCTTTTCTATAATATACTATCTAACCTTTTCGATCTCTCAGCCTCCCACCAGCCGTAGCCCAGACAGGGAAAGAAGAATCTCTGAAGCTCCAGGAAAAAGCCCTTAGAAAGCTATTACACAGACAATGTCTGCAAGCCCGGTGCTTTTCTACTTATCTACACATACTAATTTGGATAAGATAAAAGGCAAGCAGAGGAGAGTCACTTTTACAGAAAGATGAGAATGGTAAAGTACTGACCCCACTTTTAACTGGATGTGTCGGCTCCTGAGTTCTGGAGTAGTGAAATAAAAACTGAATAATAAAAAAGTTTATTTTAGTACAAGTGTCACTTGCTATAAACATGAAAGTTGCATGCCTGTGTTACCACGCTAGGCAGTACTCACCCTTTTGTATATGTCTTGATTATCCTAGAAAGAGAATTGTGAGGGTAAGATACATGGAATTTAATTGGAGCAGGCAATTATAGTGGATGAAGGGTCTTACAAAAAAAAAAAAAAAAACAAGTTCCCAGTAATACATAATTATTTTAAGGTTGACTCTCATTTCACCTTTCCAATCTTAGGGAGAAAAACATATTCTGTAGTACATAGAAGCAATACCCTAATCCATTCCGAGATAACCATCTAAGACTTGGAATAAAATTAATGATTGCAATTTTTAATTTGTTGCTGAGTATACTCTAGAATTCAGTTTTTTAGAGTTGATTCAAATTGACCAAACTTGTTTTCCCCAAAAGCTTTCTACATAAATCTCCACTCTTTTTGCAGAAAGTCCAACTTTTCATTTCTAAATCCTTGCATGAATGACAGGCTTAGTTGTATACTAAGCATATTCTACTCTGATATCTTGCTGTGAAGAAGATGTCTTACAAAACAATAAATCAGGTTTCTATGTGTGCATTTTGTATTGCTTAAGATGATTACTGTGAATATTTTAAATATGCTGATCTGGCTAAGATTGATCATTCTCATCTCAATCACCTTGAAACCTCTTTGAATGGGCTCAAACTTTAATCGAGACAGAAATGAAAGTTGTTAATAACACTTATAATTTGTTGCTGTTGACACAATTACATCTTCCTACCAACTGTGAAGAGTTTCTGCATGGGAAGCCACCCATACTTATGTATTCTACATACACACACATGCACACATACCCCACTCGTTATGTATGTGTGAGTGTATGTGTGTTTTCTGGACACTAATTAGTCAAATAATTGTTTTTGTGTACCACACTTATCAGCTTAATGCTGTTAGGTTTCAAGCCAAAAAACAACAAGAAATATGAAGATGCTTTTCCTGGTGCTCAAACACCACTCTCAACATTTCATCTGCACCTTCCTTGCTTCAATTTTTTCTTTTTACAGAAAAAAAATGTATTTCCAAATGTACTTAACTGTCTAATTTATTATTTATGTCCCCAACTAGAACTTTTTACAGAAAAAATGTATTTCAAAATGTTCTTGACTATCTAATTTATTATTTATGTCCCCAACTAGAACTTTAGTTTTATGAGAGCAAGTAGTTTTCTCTGTTTTGATCACCATTGCACATTTAGCACCTAACACATGGTGTGCTCTCAGTAGATATATTTGTTTGAAGGGATGAATAGTAGAACTGTGTTCCCAAGAATTCATTGTCCCTTTCCTGTCTGAACTTCTGATCCCACCAGAAGCACAATACAAGAAGACTTTCTGCAGGTGTCATCATTTGTAGGATGTAACTCTGCTTTCTGAAATGCTTAAAGACGAAAGTCCCGCGGAGACCCAGATCTGGCTTTTCTGGAGACCAGAACTGGAAGAGGACTTAGAGCCCAGGTAGATCATCTGGACATGAGATAGTTGAGGGAACCAGAGCCCCAGGAGAGGGAGTGACATGCCAAAGGTCCTTTATTAATGCAGCAGCAAGACCAGGAAGAGCTACAGTGTCTCTATTAATAGATTTAAGATATTGATAGTTTTGTTCACTGAATAATCCCTTGCTGTTCTACGACTGGAAATGATGAACAGGATCAGCTTTGGGAAAATGGAGGAAGTGGATGGAAATTCATTCCAGGTGGGCCCTTGCACTTGGGGAAGCCCACAACCCAATTTAAGGCTATAGGTAGCACATGTGACAGCCACACTTCCACTTCTGCCTATGTAGGGGACATCCCTACAGCCTTTATGTGAGGGACAGAGAAGCCCACTCTGTGTGAAGTGAAGAAACAGTGGCAAGGAAATGGAAAACTTTGGATTTTCACCCTGAATTTTTGCTCTGGATAGCAAGGCTGTAAAGATTAGTTCTAAAGATAAGAAATGGCAATTGTCTTCAAACATGTGCATAAGGATAAACTGAAAATAAGGAGAAATAGGCATGATATATTTATGAAGTTTAAGAGAGAAAGCAGTGGCACCTGTACAGCTCAGTCTGTTAAGGGTCTACCTTTGACTCAGGTCATGATCCCAGGGTCCTGAGATTGAACCCCATATTGGGCTTCCCACTCAGCAGGCAGTGTGCTTCTCCCTTTTCCTCTGCCACTCCCCTGCTTGTGCTCTCTTGCTCTCTCTCAAATAAATTTTAAAAAATAAAAGAGAGAAAGTAATGTTTGAGTTTTCAAGAATGGCCATTAGTTGCATCAGGGACAATGCTAGCAGGTGGCACTTAGGTGCTGTCATTTACTGTGTTCTAGACACTGTTGAAAACCCTTCAAAGATTCAAGCACTCAATCTTCACAACAACATTATGAGGCTAGTATAACTATTATTCCCATATTACAGATGAGGAAACTGAGACATAGATTAAGAATTTTGCCAAAGTTAAGTAGATTAGGTTTTGAACCCAGGTTTTAGAATCTGAGCTGCAAAGGCATTTTTGGCTGAGGAAAAACCTGTGCAGATATAAGAGTCTGGGGTATTAGGGGAATAATAAGAAGTTCACCAAGATGAGGTATGCTGTGGCTTGGGGGAGGGGAAGGAGGAAGAAAAGATATGGTTCAAGGTGAAAACATTCAGTTTATGCTTTAGAATCATGGGCTCCACCCTAACACCACCATCCTGCACTTTTGATTGAATCAATATTTACTTTGTATCCACTGAAACATATCCGTTGTGGTGACTATCACTGTTAGGTCCTTCACCTGAGATCTATTGTTTTGAAGAATTATCGTATCATACTATATCAATGTGTAACATATGTCATGATATCTCATAACATACATAATTAATGTAATTATACATATATATTATTATAATTGTAAGAATATACATGAATGACCAATATTCCATGGTATTTTATTTTGAGAGATTCACTTGTTATTTCCTACAACTACCTTCTTACCCATGTGCTTAACCATATACACAGATTTCTCCTGCAGGTGGCAAAAAAGTGTGCTTGTTACAGATATCAATTATGGTATAAGCATGTGCATTGTTATAATTAAAAGAATTCTTATATGGGGGTGCCTGGGTGGCTCAGTCAGTTAAGTGCCCCACTCTTTTTTTCCCCTTTTTTAAATTTAAATTCAATTTGCTAACATATAACACTCAGTGCTCATCCCCATCAAGTGCCCTCCTTAGTGCCAGTCACCCAGTCACCCCATGTCCCCACACTCCTTCCCTTCTGCAACCAAGTGCCCCACTCTTGATTTCAGTTCAAGTCATGATCCTAGAAACGTGATATTGAGCAGCATGTCAGGCTCTGAGCTCAGCCAGATTTTCTCCCTCTGCCCCTCCCCCTGCTGTGCTTACTCTCTCTCTCTCAAATAAATAATAAATCTTAAAAAAAATAAAAATAAATGAATTATTATATGTATATAATTTTTTTTACCTTAGGTTGCTTAGAAAGATTGGCCCAATATGCCAGTCGCTAAAGAAAAATATGAACAATGAATCAAAGATCAGTACAAATTAGTCAATAGCAATCTATTAAAACATATGTAAAATACTAAAATTGTCCCTTTTATGAACCTTGCATTATCTTCTCACACAGTGGCAGTGAATTTCAACACAACTCTCGTGATGCCTTAAATGAGGCCATGAAAATGGCAACATGAGTTTCTGCTGCAGCCAAGAATCTGATCTTAAAATAGTTTCAAGTGAACACTATCCACATGATATTTTCAAGGCCAAGACTAAATAAAAATCTCACATTACTGAACAGCAGCGTACCTCAAGCTGCATGATATCCAAGCCATCTGGGGGATCAGCTAGAGGTCGAGGAGATCCTATTGTGAGAAATCATAAAAATATTAATTAGAGGGAAATAAAGGTCATAGCATTGACTTTTAAATCTTTACCATGAAAAACATACAAAGATTCTAGAAATACAGTTTTTTAAAAAGGATTTACAAAGAAAACACACTTCTGCCTACTAACAGTAAATGTGAGATTTGTACCAAAATTAATTAAAAACAGTGTTTCTTTATTCAGGAGTGATCATTATAAGAGTAACTAAGACAGAGGGAAAAGATATCTAGGTGATGACATAATGTGTATCTTGATGGAACTTATGAAAATAGAATATCAGGAAATGTTGTCAAGAAAGTATGTACATCAGAATCACTCTTGGAACTTTTGAGCAATACAGATGCTCGTCTCTATAGGAGTAGGTTCTGGGCAAGGTTGTTGCCAGCACGCAGCTGCACTCTATGCCAATCAACCTTTATCTGGTCTAAATGAAATCTGCATCTCATTTGTGTGTGATACAACACTTGGGAAGATAGCTAATATGGCAATTGAAGGAATCGATTGGATAGATGAAGTTAAAGGGATTAATGTAAAACCCTGAACTTAGATTTTTTATTTTATTTCATTTTATTTTTAAGATTTTATTTATGTATTCATGAGAGACACAGAGAGAGACAGAGACATAGGCAGGGGGAGAAGCAAGCTCCTCCCAGGGAGCCCAATGTGGGACTCAATCCCCAGACTCCAGGATCACGCCCTAGCCAAAGGTAGACACTCAACTGCTGAGCCACCCAGGCATCCCTGAACTTAGATTTTTAAAATGTGGGACAGGGAATATCTGGCTCAAAAGTAATATATATATATATATATATATATATATATATATATATATATATATATATAAAATATATATATATATAAAATATTGAGTGATATTTTGCTTCCTGTAACCTCTGTACGAGCCGAGAAAAGCTAGGGCAATCTTGTGCTTTACAGAAATAATAGTGTCCAAGCCCTGAGTAGTAATCCTACTAGAATGATAGAATATGTGGTAGAGTTAGAGAAACAGAATAGTTTTCTTTGGCAAAAAGGAAAATTAAGAAGTGTATGCTAACTGCCTTCAATTATTTTGGGAACTATCATAAGAGATATTAATCTTATTCTGTATTCCCAAAGGATAGAACTAGGGCTAATGGTTAGAAGGCACATGTGATCAGATTTTAATTTAGTGTAAAGAAATTTTTGCTGATTGGAGACACTCAAAGATGCAAAATAATTTAAACTAATCCTATAAGGATTTCTCGAGAGATTCTGTGTTAACAATACAATGACAGGGCAGCCTGGGGGCTCAGCGGTTTAGCGCCACCTTCAGCCCAGGGCGTGATCCTGGGGACCCTAGATCCAGTCCCACCTCGGGCTCCCTGCATGGAGCCCGCTTCTCCCTCTGCCTGTGTCTCTGCCTGTGTGTGTGTGTGTGTGTGTGTGTGTGTGTGTCATGAATAAATAAATAAAATCTTTAAAAAACAAAACAATACAATAAAGAGCATAGGGACCCACCCTTAGGAAACATAAAATCAAATAGGAAATAGGGAGGTGTATATAAATATACAGACGGATAGGAAATAATAATACATTCCCCAAAATGTAATACAAACATATTCTATTGGAGCCCAGAAGAGGCAGCTACTGGCTCCCTTAGGCTGGTAGTGAGTTGGGTGTCACTAAAAGTAATTAGAGAAATCATAGATTCCCTACTCTCCATAGAAGATCAAATTAGGTGACTTCCAAGGTTCCCTGCAATGCCTAGGTTTTGTGATTACACTACGGAACATAGCGAAACAAACATACTGTTTGAAATATATTTTCTGTTTGAATATACTTTCAAAGATTTTCTATACTCCCTAAATCAAAATTCTAATGGAAAAATCTGAAATTTTGAAATAGTCCCTGTTTTCAATCAGAGTTTCCACCACATGCTTCCTTGCATAATTTGGTGAATTACCTTGAAATGGGTAATGCATTCTGACTACTGATCCCATACCCCACCCCTGGTTCCCTGCAAAGGCACTGGTTCTCAGAAGTTAGGAAAGCAACAACCCCATCCAGTCAGCACCTCGGACAGCAACCAAGCCCAAGAAAGATTGGGGCATCCACAGGTTTGTCTGGGATCCTGCCTCCTGGGAGACTACAGAAAAGCTATGAAAATATTCCTTTTTTTCCTTTGTGTGCTCCCTCTCCAACTGCCCCTCAATCCTCAGTCTTTAGGTCTGTAAAACCCAGTTTTACCACCTCTGTTCTCCTCTCTGCAGAATTCCTGGAGTACAGATTACTAAGACATTGGGGTCCCCAACTCATCCCTCACAGTTTTAGCAGCACATCTTTAGGACAGCCCTGAGTCAGCAACTGTTTAAAGAGAGTTCCACAAGGGAAAGTTGCCTCCTTTGGTGAAAGGCTATGGCATCTGGTTCTGTCCACCCTCTCAAGGTTAGAGACAAATGGGAAGCCATTTCAAAAGGGTAAATGGGGTAGGTGAGGGGATATAGTTTGACTCCCTCCAGAAACCAGAACCACCGTGAAGGATCAAGGTCTGTCTCAGTCTTCCTTAGAACTCAGGCTAGTTGGGATCTGATGAAGGGGTCCCCTTACCTGAAGAGGGAATCTGTAGCATGCAGAAGCAATAGATGGCCAAGATGGAAGGGAATTGAGGAAGAAGGTGTTTCATCTTCAAAGCTGGTTTCACTTAGCTGGCCACAGATGTATTTTGCTAGGACAGGAGTTGAGCATTTCCTAAAGTTCCACAGGCAGAAGCAACACACTATCCTGCATCTGAACGGGCCCGGTGGAGAAGGTGGTTTTATTTGCAACGCCCTGGAGCCCATTGGCTGAGCACCAATCAGTTTTGCACAGAAGGACCCTGGCTTTCTCATAAATGTCACGCTGGGCCCTTATTTGTAGAATAATATCCTCCTGGTGCAGGCATTGTAGACAGTCATCTTTTTCAATCCAGCAATAAAAATGAAAAGTGGAGAGTCATAATGGTTATTCTATAGTGGTTTGAGAAACGTTTCTAACTCTAGAAAGGCTTTTTCTCTTTTTTTTTTAATCAAAGAACTGGACATAAATCTATATGCTCTTGCATGACGAAGTTTTATTTCCTAAGAAGCTGTTTATTTTCCACCATCAACAAAAGATGTTTTATAGTCTTTGGTGCATCTAAGAACAAAATTTGGAGTCCTGAATATAATATTACAAGAAACTCAAAAGTTCAAGTAGATTTTTTTAAAAACATGGTTGGAAATTAGACTCCTTAAGTTTTCTCCAGACTCATTTCTATGAACAAGTATTTCAAATTAAATCAGAATGCAAGAAAATATGACAATGTTTAATAATAATAATTATGATAATAATGTTTCATCTACTGAGATCCTACTTAGAATTTCACATAGATTATTTCATGCAGCTCTCATAGAAAACCCATAAAGAATGTATTATTATCCCAATTTAATGAACGGGAAAATCAAGGATGAGAGAGAATAAGGGACTTGCCAAGGTCACCAAGCCATAAAGAATACAGAGCAGGGATTTAGACTCAAGGGTATCTGAGCCCATTCATGTCTGTAAAAGTGTGGAATTTTAGTCAATGTGTTCATTTTTTTTAATAAAAAGATCCTCCTTTTTTGGTATTTTTTTTATTGGAGTTCCATTTGCCAACATATAGTATAACACCAGTGCTCATCCCACTAATAAAAAGATCCTCCTTGTTAGGAAAGTCAGTCAATCTGTAGATCACTTTGCATAGTATTGATATTTTAACAATAAGGTATCATGCTAAGTGAAATAAGTCATACAAAGACAAATACCATATGATTTCACTTATATGTGAAATCTATAAAACAAAAAAGCAAACAAACAACAACAGCCACAACAAAACCCAGAAACAGATTCATAAATACAGAGAACAAACTGGTGGTTGCCACAAGGGAGGAGGGTGAAGGAATGGGAGAAACAGGTAAAGAGAATTAATCTTACAATACAAACTTCCAATTATAAAATAAATAAGTCACAGGATGAAAAGTATAGCATAAGGAATATAGTGAATAATATTGTAATGTCATATGATGACAGATGGTACCATGATGAACATGGTGTAAGGTATAAAGTTGTCAAATCACTATGTTATACACCTGACACTAATATAATAGTATGTCAACTATACTGCAATAATAAAAAATTTTTAAAGAGCCTACTTGAGATTGGATATGGGATTGAAGGAAAGAGAAAGAATGAAGTTTGCTGTCTTGCAGAAAGTGTAACCTATATAAAGCGTATAGCAAATAAATATCTTTTTTCATTATGCATATCTTTAATTTTTGCTCTTAAGGGTTAGCAGATAACTAACAATTTTTGAATGTTTACAATGTGCTTAAAACAGGTTAATCCTTTATCTAAGTCATCTTATATCATTGTTTTCAATGAATAAAAGTTTTAAGAATAATTTTGGATGGGTGTGGGTCAGAATGGACTATTTATGACTTAAAATGTGGTATTTTGCTAAAAAATTCTAAGTCAGAAGACGGTGGGAATTATAAGCTACTGTATAGCCATAATATTTTGTCTACTTCCGTGAGATAGCAAGAAATAGAGATTTCTATTTGTTACAGTATTTACCACTTTAGTACAAGAAGAATAATCCAGGGTCTTCAGGCAGCAGGAAGAGATAATGCCTTTTTATTGATATGCACCCATTGTCCAACTCCAAGTCTTTATGGAACAACTAGGAAAAAATGAATGATTGCTTTTTGAACATAAACCATCTATCTATATGGTATTAAACATCCTTATTTATGGACATTTTAAACACAACACACATATAATAGCAAAGGTTTGTGGCAGTTCTACTGTCAATCAATAGGTATTTTTTAAACAGTTGGTTTCTCTCTACCATGAACTAGGTTCTCTAAGTACAAACATATTTTTCAAGTAAACCTATGTGATAACTCTGATTTATACCAAATTGATTTTGCTTCTTTTGTACATTGTACACTCATTATTTCTCAGATATTCAGAACAGAAAATAAAACATTTTTGAAACCAATATTTTTTTCAACAATTTTATTTCTAAGCAACCTTTACATCCAACGTGGGGCTTAACTCACAACCCCAAGATCAAGTTACATGCCTTACCAACTTAGCCAGCCAGTTGCCCCTAAAATAATAGTTTTTAATGCTAATGCAGAAATACGATTATGTTGATATCCCAGAAATGAAATATGTTGAAGCCCTGATCCCCTGTGTAACTATATTTGGAGATTTGGCCTTTAAGGAGATAATTAAGGTTAAATGAAGCATAAGGATAGAGGCCTAATCTTTGAGGGCCAGTAGCTTTAGAAGAAAAGGAAGTGACACCAGAACTCTCTCTCTTAGTGCACACAAAGAAAGGGCCAGGAGAGGACACAGTGAGAAGTCACTGTCTGCAAGTTGACGAATGAGGTCCCATTGGAAATTATCTTTTTGGCACCTTCATCTTGGACTTCCAGACTCCAAACTGTGAGAAAATACATTTTTTGTTGTTTAAGCCACCCAGACTGTAGTCTTCAGTTATGATAGCCTGAGCTGACGAATACGAACACACAGGGGGTGTTAGCCAATTCAGTACCAGAAAAAAGAAGAAGAAGAAGAAGAAGAAGAAGAAGAAGAAGAAGAAGAAGAAGAAGAAGAAGAAGAAGAAGAAGTAAAATAATGAAATTAAAGGTAAAATAAAAGTTAGAAAGTCTCATGGGGTTTTTTTGTTTTTAAGTTTTTATTTATTTATTCTTGAGAGACACAGAGAGAGAGGCAGAGACATAGACAGAAGGAGAAATAGGTTCCCCCCTGAGTACGGAGCCTGATGTGGGACTCAACCCTGGTACCTCCAGGATTACCACCTGAGCCAAAGGCAGATGCTCAACCACTGAGCCACCAAGGAGCCCCAAAACTCTCATGGTTTTAAATGATATGATTATCTACCCAGAAAATCCAAAGGAATCAAATGACAAATTATTAGAATTCAGCTTACCAAAATGCTAAAATTTAAAGAAAATTTTCAGGAATAGTTTTCTCAAACATGAGCAAAAATAAAATTTAAAATGTATTTTAAAATGTAAATGGCTTTAAAAAATGTCATTCTGAGGACTAAACCAAAGAATAAGTATGCAATATATTAAAAAAGAAAACTGTAAAACATTACTGAAGGACATAAGAAATATATGAATAAGGGAAAAGGCATATCATGGGGTGCCTGGGTGGCTCAGTCAGTTAAGGGTCTGCTTTCAGCTCAGGTCATGATCTCAAGATCCTGAGATTGAGCCCCGGGTTGGGCTCCCTGCTCAGCAGGGAGTCTGCTTCACCTTCTCCCTCTGCCTCTCCTCCTGCTTGTGCTCCCTCTCAGTCTGTCTCTCTCAAATAAATAAATTAAATCTTTAAAAAAAACAGGAAAGGCATATCATGATCACTGACAACAGGAGTCAGTGTTTGTTAAAAATTCAATGGATGGCAGATTATAAAGTTAATGTCAGCCTTATTAAAATTCTGAAATGACTTTTTTCATGGAATTTTAAAGCTGATTCTGAAATTATTTTGAGAGAATATTGAAGAATATTCAAGACATTTTTGAAAAAAAGAAAGCTATTTTGCCAATGTCAAAACTACTAGAAGGCAGCAGTAATTGTTACATTGTAGTAGTAATTTTGCTACTGATCTGGTAACAGGCAAATAAATAGATTAATGGAATAGAGTCTTGAAGCAGATCATTTACATACAAAGTAAAGGTGGTATTTCAAATCAGTGCAAAATGATGAACTACTCTAAATGGCATTTAGAACAATTGGCTATCCAGTTGACAAAAAAATTCCCTATTTCACACTATAAATTCAAATGAATTTCAGAAGATTCATGAATTAAGCCTAACATACCCACATATACACATAGACACATAAAATTCTGTATTAGAAAGAAATAGAGTATATATTTGATTGGAAAATTGCTCTTGAGCAAAATTTAGAGTAGGGAGGCCATTAAGAAAAAGACTGATACATGTTATTATATTTTAAAAAATGTCTATGAAAAAGATAACCAATATTAGCAGAGAAAAGGCAGAGTAAGGTAAGTATAAAACAACTATAGAGATGCTTAAAATATAGAAAAAAATGGGGGGACAGAGAGAAGGAAGGAGGCAGGCAGGCACAACCTAAATGTCTGACTGAGAAAATATTAAACTGTAGATTATCCATAATATAGAAATGTATACAACTCTTAAAAAGAAGATGGATTTTTATGTATTGACAAGTCAAATTCTTTGTAATGTAGTAAAGAAAAAAGTTATAGAACTACATACTATATGGTCTATTATCAGTTTGCTTCTGCTCATAATAAAAATCATCCTCACACTTAGTTGTTTAAAAACAACCATTTATTTAACTTAAAATGCAGGTCAGTAATTCAGGCTGGACTCAGCTGGGTGATTCTTATGGTTTGGGCTGGGCTCAACTAATCACTTACACATTTACATTCATCTGGTAAATAGACTGGGGTGCCTGGGACCTCTTTCCATGTGGTCTCAGTCTCCAGATGGCTAGTCCAGAATTGTTCCCATGCTGGTTTCAAAGTTCCAGGGCAGTGAGAGTAAAAGCGATGAGGCCTCTAGGTTTGGGACTGGCACAACATCCCTTCTGCATTAGAACAGTCAAAGCAAGTCACAAGGCAAGCTGGAATTAAGGGGTGGGAAAATAAACTCCCTCTTTCAATAAAAGTAGCTGAAAAGTATACAGCCGATTTTGCAATCTACAGATTTCCACTTCGGGATAATTTTTTTTCAAAAGAGCAGACGCAATTCTATGAGTGCATATGTAGGTAATGCAAAGAAAAAGGGTTGGGATATGACACAAACACACAAATATCAGTGGTTCTAGAGAAACAAGATTGTGAGGGGGTCATAAAAACCTTTTACGTTATCTATACTTTTTAATGATCACATTGGCTGATTGTAAATTACCTGTATAAGTAAAATTAAATCTTAAAAATGTAACAAACTCCAAACACTATTGTGAGTATATTGGTTCATATTTAAACATCTGAACTTACATATATGAAAAAGCAACTTCTTTCTTTATTTCATTACATTTGTTTTTCCAAAGTGTTTCCTTTGTTAGACATTATTGAAGAGGTTGTGACCAGTGGATTTGTCAGTGCCAAGCCAATTTAATGAGATATCTTTTTAAAAAATATATGAACTCACCATGTGGAGCTCCCACACCATATGAAGCAGAAGCGAATTCTGAGAATTACACTAAAAATTCCTCCCCCTTTCCACATCAACTTAGCTCCCACTTTGTAAATGGTTATTATGAAAAAACTCAGCAGGCTTTTAAGGAACTGGACTTTAATCTATAGGATATAAAAAATGTAATTTCAAAATTGATATATATGTTCCTGTGTTCAAAGCATAACTTTCTGAGTTCTTCAGTGGCATCCAGAGGGTCCTTCAAGAGCCCTCTGAGTCTACAGCAAATTAAGATGCAGGTACAAGGATTAATGTTTGAGGGCTTCTATTCCTAGCAGGATATCACAGAAAGTAGTGACAGGTTTATTTGAGAGGCTGGTTGTTAAACCCCCAAAAAGCTGTTTGGTGACAGAAAAAGCCATCCTCCCACATCTGCTAGCACTGTCTCCACTCACCTGAATACACCCTCTCTTTTCTTCCCACCTTCTGTGCCTGTAGCCTGTACTTTTCTCTTGGCCTTTACATCTGCGCTTATGGTGAGCTACTTAGTGGAGGCAGGGGATGGGAGAGCGTGTAACCTCAGGGGAACCAGCATATGCTAATAGACAAAATCCATGACAGTAAGAACTGTGGTTTTACTTACTACGTATTTTCCTTTGCCAAGAGTGATATATTAGACAGTTGGGCCAGTTACTTGTCCATTGGCCTTCAGCTCCATAAATGCCTTTCCTTATTCCCCTTCTGATCATGAAGAGCTAGAAACCTAGAAAGTCAACACTCTTCTCATCCAGTTTCCTGTTAGCTTCTGTCAATGGGAGAGGAGGATGGGAAGAGTTTGGAAGATGGAAGGGAGAGCCATTTTTTCTTTTCTGCTTTTGGTGATGCCTCCAGCAGAGGCAGCTCTCCTGGGCTCCACGGGCACTCCACAAGCAGCAGCACTTACACATGACTTCACACTCCCCAGGTGTAAAGAGAATGTGTGCTCCTGGCTTCCTGGAGAGAAGTAGAGGTGGTAGTTGAAACAGCAGTTTTAGTAGAGACCCCATCAGTCTTAGTGACCAAGGAACATGGGCTCTGGGAATACCATTTTTCCTTACGTTCCTCTAATCCTAGGGGTAGACGGGGGCTTTATGCGGTTGCTAATCTCTGGGTAATGTCCAGTGTTTGGAAATAGAGACTAATGGAAGAGTATAGATGAAAATCATATTTTGGGCAAAGTAAATTGAGCAAGCAATAAAGAGTAGACAGGAATGGCAATCAATAGAAAAGACAATGGCTTATGTCCAGTGGAGTTCTATATAAGGACAAATTTCAAAAAGAAGGAGGAGTTTCATGGCAGCCAATTAAAATACATGAACATAAGAAAATATAAACAAACAGCTCACCCACCCCAGGACAGCCTCAGGAGATCAGACCAGATCTGATATCGACTAGGTACTGACTCTAGTGCCTTCGGGACAGGTGACTGGGGTGGATGGGTGCGATGAGTCAATTTGCTGTGGGCAGGCACACAAGTCCTTCTAGCCTGATGATTCAGGAGCTGAAGGAGAGGGGAGGATGACCAGAGCAGGAAAGAAAGGATGACTCTAGCTTGGAACATGGAGCAACTGGAAACAGTGTCTCCTCCTCCCAACCTCACCATTTATTAGTTAATTCCACTGCCCTGTCTGCCCATGGCACCTGGAACAATGATAGTCATTCACTCATTCGCTCATTCATTTCTTTATACATTTGGGGAACTCCAACTAGATGCCAGGCACCAAGGATAGGAATATGAGTAAGAAACTCAAGGAGGTCCCAGTGTAGCAGGAAAGGCAAACGCATCAATAATTCTCTATGAGAGCATGAAAGAAGGGCATCCATTGCAGGGGAAGCAGGGAAGACTCTACAGTGGAGCTGGCTTCAACAGGGGTTTTGAAGACCAAGTGAGTTTGGCAGGCAGTGGAGGGGGATTAGCCATATGAAAGATACACTGGTGGGAAAACATCAGGCAAAAGTGAAGTTTGGTGTTTCCAGAGGCTGCGACAGAAGCGTGGCTAATAGCTGGAATGGGAGGAGAGATAGTTGTGGCATCTTTTGGAAGGTTCCTTTGACAACGACGAAGGTGTTAAGGGAAACAGAAAGATGAGTGAAATGGAAACAGGTTGTCAGGCTGCAGACTTGGAGAGAGTGTAGGAAATGAATGGTGTCGTTTTTATAAGCTCACTCTCCCCATCTGCAAACGGAGTGCCTGCCACCAACTGGGTACCTCTGATGTTAGAAGTTGGCCTCACTTCTGATAGGGAAGGGAAGCGAGAGGGAGAGGATCACACTGGTTAGACATGGAAATGCTGTACTGGAAAGCCCGATATGCCATTTCAGGTGTGGGATGTATTGTGTTTCAGGAAGTCATGAAAGATTAAAAGCAGGAGGTGTTGGGATCTCCCCCAGCTGTGGCTATAGAGAGAAGCTTAGGCAAGAGGTGAGACCTAAAATGGAATTCTATCAGGAAGCATCTGCAAGTGAAAAATAGTGAGGACCAGTCCCAAGGTAGTGTCAGCAGGAACAGAAAGGAGGGGGTGGACTCAGACATTTTAACTGGAGAATCCACAAGAATTGGGGATGATTATCTGGAGGCTAAAGGAAAGGAAGGAGCAGGAGAGGCCTCCAAGGGGTTAGGCCTATGACGCCAGAACAGAGAGTGGCCATTTTCACAGAGACTGGGAATGGAGAGAAAACAGTGGGTTGATGTGTGGGACATACGCCTGTGGAGGACGCAAATGGAGGTGTCCAGGACGTAGCTGGAGATGAGTGGCTCGTGCTTAAGAAGGAAACTGAAGTCATGTGTGTAGATTTAATCATCAGCAGCACGTGTGTGGTGGCTGATGTCACCAGAGAAAACGCGATCGCTCTGGGAGTATGAAGGGAGTGAAGGAACATGAGACCCTGGCAAACATCAGGGCTTGAGCAGAAGCCAAGAAGCCATCATCAGGGAAAGCGCCCTGCAGGAGGGGAGCAGTTAGGGTGTCACTGGTGAGCAGTGTCAATAGGGGCTGGGCTGAGGGTGTGCAGAGGAAGCAGATACAGACCAGCCTTTCATGAAGGACAGGAGGTGGAGGGCTTGGGAACCAGGGAGGCTTTATAATAAATGAAGGGTGAGGGAGACGTGAGCATGCAGACAGGCAGAGGAGAGGAAGTAGGGGAGACCGGAAAGCGAAAGGAAACTGAGGAGTCAAAGTCATGGAATAATCGAGAGGGAAATAATCATAACCCAAGAGGAGAGATGCGTCTTCTACCCCTGAAACAGGAGGGAGGAAGGCAAAGACACAGAGGGATCTGGAGGTGGTAGGAAGGAATTTGACCAGGTCACATGATGGGGAACCTCTGCTTTCTTTATTTTTATTTTTATTTATTTATGATAGTCACAGAGAGAAAGAGAGGCAGAGACACAGGCAGAGGGAGAAGCAGGCTCCATGCACCGGAAGCCTGATGTGGGATTCGATCCCGGGTCTCCAGGATCGCGCCCTGGGCCAAAGGCAGGCGCCAAACCGCTGCGCCACCCAGGGATCCCGAACCTCTGCTTTCTATGTAAAGACAAGGCCACGTTACCTAGCTGGAGCCTGGTGGGAAGAAGCAGTGAGCTAGAAAGGGTAAGCTAGCTGCTAGACCTCACACTCCACTTGTTAAATTCTCTTTTTGCTTTTTCCTGCTCTATCGTTTTTTAAATATATCAACAAAGCAGGTTTGCATTATTTTTCATAGTGCTAAGTAAAGAAAATCAAAGTCTTGAAATAACAGATCCTTCTAACTGCAGGTGAGAGAAATCTCAGCCAGTCAAGAAGAAAATAGATCTTCTACATGAAACAAAACAAAAACACAAAGAAATATTCTTTGACGTCTTTACCTATGCTCGTTAATGTTATTTCTAACTCAGGAGTAATAAAACATCTGAATTTTGGAGATTGTGGCTACGGCTTGTGGATGTAACCATAGCTTCCATAAAGGTGGTAATGCTCATTGGTCTTGTTTAAAAACATGTGGCGAGAATCCCTGGGTGGCTTAGTGGTTTGGTGCCCGCCTTTGGCCCAGGGCGTGATCCTGGAGACCCGGGATCGAGTCCCACATCGGGCTCCCTGCATGGAGCCTACTTCTTCCTCTGCCTGTGTCTCTGCCTCTCTTTCTCTCAATCTGTGTCTCTCATGAATAAATAAATAAAATCTTTAAAAAATAAAAAAATAAAAAATAAAAACATGTGGCTCTAGTCATGTTCCATTTGAGACATGTTTTCCTGAAAGGGCATACATATTGGTGAGTCTCCTAATTCAGGAGAGGGTTATGGACACTTCTCTCATTCATGCAAAAGTAAGAACATAATAATAAAATTAAACTCTATGAATCTTTTATCTTGTTTAAATAGAGTTTGAAAGAATAATTCATGCAAATTAATAGTAATAAATGCTTGAGAAGTCATGTGGTAAATGGAAAAAAATATCCAAGGGCAGAGTTAAGGTTAGCATGGTCAATATGGATGCCCTGTGTTACTGTTACTGTGTTACTGTTACTGTTCTTCAGCCCACCATGAGAGGAAGGTTCTGGAAGCTCAAGGAGCTGTGGAGGGGGCTCTGGAACCAAAGCCAGAGGACTAGAAAGACCTTCTAATCAGACCTTTGACTCTAAGGGTCCTTTCTCAGGCCTTGACTGAGGAAAACCAGCACCTGGGAGAACTCCATGCTCCTCAGGCTATCTTTGGGAGCCATTAGCAAGGCTGTTTGGTGCACAGAATTGCACTGCTATCTTTGTTTGCAGAGACAAGCTGCTTATCCATCTCAGTAGGATGTCTCTTTGAGCACTTTCCCAATAGTGACAACAGAGTGACAGAGACCCGGCCATTCTCTCTGACCAGAACTCTGTCAGGCCACATATGTTCATAATTCTGAGATGCTAGATGGGTCTGGGTGAGTTATCTGAGGTTGGAGGTGGAGAGAAGTTAAATACCTTCTGTAGAAATAGAGATCTGATCATTAGCTTCGTGGAAACTGTATGCTGTCGTGGTTTGTAACTTCTGAGGGGACATGGATCCTTCTGAATATGTGAGGAAAGGTATGGATTTTCATCTTTGAAAAATGCCCAGGCACATATGGATGCTCAAGTTTTCATACTGTTTTGGGGGTTCAGGAGCATGACTCTTTTCCATAGTCCTTTTTCATGAACCCCCACCACAAACAATTACCCACCAGCAGTAAAGGGTTTCCTCTGAATATAGTCCCCAGACCACACATTTCAGAAATACCTGGGGTGCACAGGTTTGTGGGTCCCATTCCAGACTCTGAATCTGAATCGCTGGTTGTGGGGCATAGGAATCTGCATTGCAAACAAACTGGATTTTAAACAAATCCAGAGGATTCTGCACCAGTCTGAGTTTGAGAACAATTGCTATGGGTTCAGACTCTAGGTTGAGAATCTCAGTTCAGCAGAACTAGGCATTTTCTCTTTTTTGCTCAAGTGCTCCTTCTCAGCCCATTTTGGGCTCTTTCTGCCTTCTATCTCTAGCCGGCATGATCCTGGACTCTCCATTCTCCAACACCATAGAAATGCTCAGGACATGCAAAGTTATATGTATATTGGTTCTTGAAAAACTCTTACAAAAATAAATCTTATGCCCAAAATAAGTAATAGAGAATTCCCCAGAAGCCATGTGGAATGTCTTGGGTGATCCGTGCCACAGCCCGGTCCCATCACAGCTGCTGGCGCCCATATGATCTGTGCACGGCCATCTGTACATGTAAAAATATCATTTGTGCACTTGCCTAAGCAGCCCTGGTGAATGGAAAGTTTTGAGAAGCCTTTGATGACTGCAATTTGTCATTTAGGGAAGCAGTATGCAAACAACACCCGAGTATTGCTGGCTGCTCTGCTCAGTGGGCATCCTGGCCTTTTCATTTTATGACCCACTATGAATGATTCTCACTATGCTCCATCTCCCTATTAGTCAGATGTCACAAGCTTATTT